TCTGGATGATGAATCGAAATATAAATCGTGATTTCAAATTTTGACTTGATCTTTAAAAAACATTCATGTACGCCCTGTGCGGTGACGAGTTCCTGACGTCAATGCATGCACCATGTCCAAGTTGCTTGGGCAACAAGCATGTGGGAAATACGATTGTTCATGTACGCCCTGTGCGGTGACGAGTTCCTGACGTTGTCAATGCATGCACCATGTTGCTTGGGCAGCAAGCATGTGGGAAATACGATTGCGCCGCCTGTATCATCTTTACACGTATATACGCATGCTTTAAATTGTTCACGGACACCATAGTTGTCTTTAGTAAAAATAAACACACAACAAAACACATTGCACACATTGTATATTTAAGTAGACAACATGCTTTGTTTTGAAAACATAGCTAGTGCTAATGCTAAAGTCAAAGCAGGATCCCATTCAAATGCTAACAGGTAATTAGCATAAAAAAAAAAAAAAAAAAACAAAAACAGCATGCAAAAATCCACGATACAGCGAGTCAGCGAAAGGCGAACCGCAATATAACGAGAAACCACTGTATCTTTACAGTAGACCTGAGTAGTGCTGGATGATGAATCGAAATATAAATCGTGATTTCAAATTTTGACTTGATCTTTAAAAAACATTCATGTACGCCCTGTGCGGTGACGAGTTCCTGACGTCAATGCATGCACCATGTCCAAGTTGCTTGGGCAACAAGCATGTGGGAAATACGATTGTGCCGCCTGTATCATCTTTACACGTATATACGCATGCTTTAAATTGTTCACGGACACCGTAGTTGTCTTTAGTAAAAATAAACACATAACACAACAAAACACATTGCACATATTGTATATTTAAGTACAAAACATGCTTTGTTTTGAAAACATAGCTAGTGCTCATGCTAAAGTCAAAGCAGGATCCCATTCAAATGCTAACAGGTAATTAGCATCGACTTCTGGAGTGATACTCCTTCAAATAACAAATATTTAAACACCAAAGTTGTGGAAACACATACACACAGGTAAGGTAACACTACTCAAAGGAATGAATTATTCCCAATATGTGAAAAAATTGAATTATATCAATCGCACTACACGGTCCCAAGAGGCCAAAACACACAACACAGCCAGTATTTTTTTCCCCAATCATTATTATAGTCTATGCTTATTAACTAACCTTCTTGCTAATTTTTCTTGGTCCTTTTAAGTTATATTTAAAGTTGGTTTTCAAGGATTTTTTTCCCTTTGGTCAAAATTCAAGGATACAAGCACTTTTTTTTGTACCAACACACATTTTTCCAATAACGGCACAAAATACGATCCCGGGTTAGCTCAGTGTGAAAATAACAGACGATAAAACAAATATGACGAAAAAATAATGCAAATGTTCTATGTGAGGCCTCAGTTTCACATGTTCCCACGGTCATTTGTAAATGACAAAAAGAATAATGCTCAAGAATAGTGTCCCACATGCAGGGATGAATGGGCTTGAGGCTGTGCTGATAGTTTGGAGGAGTTGAGTTTTAGTCGTTGAACAGTAAGTTTTGAAATCAATGAATAACAAATCTAATAACCATCATTTCAATCTCAAAATAGTGGTGATTTTCTTCATAATCGTCCAGCCCGAGAGCACAACTTGCCAACCTAAAAATAAGTGTTCAAAACTATCCATTGTTGAAAATTGGCAAAGAGACGAGAACCATGAAATGGATAAAATACTTTAGAATGAACTTAATTTGACCTCTAAACTTTTAAAGGCACATTTCCAATTGGTCATTGTTTCAGAATCGCATACTTGCTGTTCCCTTGTTGAAAGTTAAAATTCGCAACCAGGCAAGGGAGCTTTATTTATATCGCACATTTCAAATACAACAAAGGCTTTTACGAACAAAAGAATTGAAGGTGTTCAAAGCAAAGGGGGAAAAAATCTAAGACGTTCAAAAGTAGAGCAAATAAATGAAAAGTAGTTTCCTAAAATTACGATAAGAATGTTCAGCGCAAGAAGAGGGAAAAGTATGCTGAAAAAAATGCTTTAAAAGACCAGAATCAAAGGGTAGGAGAGTAAAACGTTTGTTAACCTGGATTAAAAAATAAATTTAACCCGGCGGTAAATTCGGTTCTGTTGGTGGATTAGCATAACCGCTAATAGCTGATTCAACATGTTTGCTTGGAACTTTGGGCTCTACGAATTGACTCAATTCTGCTGACCTCAGCCCCTCAATGCTTATTCAAGAAGCATTTCTTTCATGTATTCACTATTCCGGATTGAAGCTATTCAGTGATTTACAGACAAGGAGCAGAATTTTAAAATCTATTTTATAGCTAATCTGGATCCAGTGTAAAGACTTTAGGATGGATGGATGGAGAGGGAGAGAGAAAGAGAGCTAGCGATCTATTTATCTTACTGTCAGATGCACGTTCCAAAAGTTGCCTTGCATTAAAATAGCAACATCGTCACACACAAGCAATTAATTGGAATGCACAATCCTCTATATTAACATTGATTGGACTTGGGTAATATGTTCTGATCTCTTTGTTGTGGTCAGGACCCGCGCCGCAGCATTCTGAATGAGCTGAATCTGTTTTTGAGGGAGTCCAGTAAAAAGACTTCTCAAAATCAAGTCTACTGGGGATAAAAGCATGGATAAGCTCTTCTTGGTCTGCTTGGAGCATGAAACTCGGAAGGTAAATCAATAAGCACCCCAGGGTTCTGGACTTGGTTCTTTGTTTTAGACAGTGACATGGCATGACAACAGCCCTTTGATCCATGACTTGACCAAAAAAAAAAAAAAAAAAAAAAAAAAAATCGCTGGTTCAAGTAGAATTGGTATTTTTTTTTTTTTTTTTAAAAAGTCACCTTTACCATGCAGTTCGCATTTTGACATCCCCGGACCAATTGATCAACAGTACCTCGCCGTTGCAACGCCCCAAACAGGATGTTCTCAGGGGGAAGTGGCCACTGATCTCAGAGTGTCATCAGCAGGTTGCGACAGAGATCCAGAGATTTTGAAAGAGTCATAGAAAGCAATGGGCAATCGGGCGTTCTTGTGAATTTATACTTGACACCAGTTGTGAATTTGGCTGGTCATCTTTTTGCAGAACAGCAAGTTGTGCAAAAAAACGGAGCAGTTGGACATTTGCATTAAACACACACACACACACACGCACACACACACACACACACACACACACACACACACACACACACACACACACACACACACACACAGTTGCACAAGGTATAATTATGGTGAGGAAAAAGTACGTATAATTTTCGATTTTACAACAATCGGGCATTTAAACGGAATTGCTTCGTTTTGTAGAGCCACTATTTTTTTTCTTTTAAGAGTTATGCTAAGAACACACACACACGCTCGTACGCCAACTAGAGAAATGCTATTCTGCTTGCTGGCTACTGTCAAGGTGACCTTGAGCAAGGCCAGGGTTGATTATTGGGAATTATCGGCACCGTTTTTTTTTTTCTTTTTTGACGATCGAAAAGTTAAACGCTTGTTGCTGTGACTCTCGTCCACTATGGCTTGTTCAGAGCAACATCTAATTGCAATACGTAACAAGTGTCACCAATAGGAGTGGGAAATCGACATTGTCATCGATATTATCGTCAACGTTCCTTTTGGGATGTGTGATTTTTTACCACTCGAGTATTGGCTGCAAAGTCGGAGGAAGTGATAAAGTTCTCATTCGGTGAATCGGCGTACATAAACTGCAGAGTCATTTTCAAACGATGACCTGGAACATTCCTAGAAAATCACAACGCTCCATCACTAATGAGCCATATTTGCGGGCTACTCAGGTGACCAATGGGTGGGGGTAGGGGGGGATTCCTGGTACCTGCGGGCACCACGCTGCTGACCGCTTTGCATTACTTACATTACATACTTATTTGTTATGTCCTTGTTTATGATGATACTAGTGCAGCCTGTACTACCGGAGACAAATTCCTTGTGTGTTCTACATATATGGCCAATAAAGATGATTCTGATTCAGATTCTGATATATCGTTCCCCATGACTCAGCATCAAAATAAATAAATAATTACATCCTTCCGAGTACAGCCGAGCATTCTAAATATACAAATAAGAGAAAGAATACGCTTCATGGAAAATCTGGTCCTTTCCGAAATAACATCGCACTACTTGCCTTGACAGCTGCGGTGACAGCAGCAGTGGCTGCAATGCTGAGGCCCTGCTTGCCGAAGTTCACCATGGTCTCGTAACTTCGTTCCTTGGCCTGCACAATGTACTCGTCTATTTCCTAGCCCAAGAAAAGTAACGGGACATTTATTCAGGACAGCTCAATCACGTTAAGAAAAGGCATTGCAACTTTTAGGAAAATCTCAATTCAACCAGGGGTCTCACCCTCTCTCTGGAAGACAGCAGTGGGTGCAGACATTTCCTGTAAATGAGACTTGCTCCTCTGGTGTAAGGGGATAGGAGCCAGATTACAAATGCTACCTTCAGTTCATAGTACAAAGGAAACCTGCAAATGGACAAAATATATCAATGCACCAATCAAATAATGCGACGATCCAAAAAGATATGCATGGTCACTAAATTAGAAGTTTCATGGGATTTGGGGGGGTGGGGGGGATAGGTCGTCGCTGAAATTGACTGATTCCTTGTATTTATTTGTTGATCATTTATCCGTTAGTGGAGCTTGGTCACATTTAAACAGGAAGTGTTCGCCAGAAGGCATTTTGCAACATGTGCCAACAGCATTGAATGCATTGTTCTCATTGCAATTTGACAAGCGGCTGCCATCTTGGTGGGATACTCAATAAATAAATAAATAAAATCGCGGAATGAGCATTTCAAACGCCTCTAAAATCCTCCATAACCGATAAATTCACCAGCAAAAAAAATCATGACTTAAGTGGGTGGTGTATTCTGCTGCCGATCTACGCTGCCCTTCTCATGAATAATGTTTCATTTGCGCGATTTGAGGTTTTTAGGGCAAGGGACGCTGTTTGAAATATCAAAATTTTCAGGAGTATCCTTCGGAATTTCAGCCTGTGTGGGCTGGGTGAATTTGCGGATATTTTCAGCTGAAATTTGTCAACAAAAGGAAGAATGGGTTCCCCCAGTAACAAACAAACGTTCACAGAAAATATTGAATTTCTGCTGCTGTTTACCATCCATCTATTTTCCGATCGGCTTATCCTCACAAGGGTTGCAATGGGTGCTGTAGCCTATCCCAGTCGTCTTCGGGCAGTAGGGAGGGGACACCCTGAACCGGTTGCCAGCCAATCGCAGGGCACACAGGGACGAACAACCATCCGCGCTTACACTCACAATTTGGAGTGTTCAATCAGCCCGCCGTGCATGTTTTTGGAATGTGGGAGGAAACCGGAGTACCCGGAGAAGACCCACGCAGGCCCGGGGTGAACAAGCAAACTTATCATTTGAGCTTTCCGTGCGTACAAAAATGATTTGACCAGCAGACGCAACTCGCTGCACATTCCGTACACCTGCACATTGAATTGTTAAACTTGTCGATATATAATTTATTTTATTTTGAGTTAACTCACCATGCCAGTGTTAGGTCAGTGATGGTCTCCACCACAGTGTAGAGGGCAAAAACAATCCAGTACATCATCCATCGGACCTACAAGAACACAGAGCAAATTAAAACTGAACAATGTACGTCTAGTTTCAAATACAAAATGTAATCAGAGATGGCTTTGTGTGTCCCTTGATGCTGATTTAAAAAGTCTTTACTTTTTTCCCCAAGCACATCTCATTTTTTATTATTTTTTTTTTTTGTTTTCAAGTTTGACCAAGAAAAGCTTGCGCAATAAAAGGCTTGCCCGGCTTTTGTTGACATTTCCTTGACCCACCTATGGTGCCTACCATGCCCGACAACAATTCACGGAGGTCGTGCTGGTTGCGCGCTGGAGCTCATCACTTTGAACCATAAGCCAATTTCGATTAACTCCACACAATTATAATATACAGTAACAAAGGTAAAAATACAGTTGAAAAGAAAAGGGCATCGGTCGCCGTCATTCTCTGGCGGTCCTAGAAGCAGTCCGCCACGAGGCAGTCCAACGGCAGTCGGGCTGCGTGAACGAAGCCTCAGCTACGGCTCTCATTCAAGTGAATTACTCCGTGCGCATGTGAAATTTTCCAATATTTTCATAATATTGTTTTTGGAGTCGCGGAAAACGGGCTTGTTGTCTGTTCGTGTATTTGAGACAACTTTCAACATCGACTATTAGACCAATCCAAGTCTTTTTTTTTTTTTTTATGTCCAAGTTTTACTTTATCTTTGTATACAGCTGTGGTTGTTTTTGAAGGTGCTCTATAAATAAAAATGAGTTGAACTGAGCGTTATTAGTAGGATTCAGTGGGCTCACTACTTTTTGACGGCCCCTTGAATTTATCGCTTGGAGATGAAGTTCACGAATACTTTTGGAAGGGACTGTTTGTATTCAGCCTCTGTTGAGGGCGATGTTGCTAAAATTTCAATATAAGATGCAGCAGTACAAAGTCTCAAGGCAGGTGAGAGAGAGAGAGAGAGAGAGAGAGAGAGAGAGAGAGAGAGAGAGAGAGAGAGAGAGAGAGAGAGAGAGAGAATTGTCTCACAAGCACAACAGTTCAGAATTCATAATAAAAATACAGAGACAATGAAAACAGAGTGCACAGGCAAAATTTCCCCTCCTTCCTGCACCATTGTTCGCCGGTTAATTTGTGACCTCGCGGTGAACTCTTTCAAAAACACTCACGCAGAGAGGCTCATGGGAATGAAAAAGGTAAAGGGGGGGGGGGCAGAATAAGATGGTGAGACTGTCTAATTGGTTTCAATGCATCGCTAGCTTTCCCTTTCATTCCCCCCGTTGTATAATTTGCCAGGCTCTGTCTGACCACACATTTGAGTGTTTTTCATCTTTCATCTCAGTAGATTGGAGAACATTACCTCGGTGAAATATACAGCAGCCATTTTGCATTCCTGATGCAAAATATGACATTAACTGGCCCTGTGTGTGAATAACTGCTTTGCATTAAAAGGGCAATGAAAAGAAAATGCCTGACATCAGCTTTTCAGAGACTCGGGCAGTAACCCAACAAGAAGCTTTAGTTGTCGAATTAATACACATCATGGATGATACCTCTAAGATCAAAGCAATTTCATATTAATTTAACATGAATCTGTGTAGGGATGAAGAAAAAAAAAAACACTATTTTGCACGGGCAAAAAAAAAGTTCTCTCAACAGACAAAAACACAGTTGACATAGTTGACCGTGTATTAAACTTATAATTGTAAAATTTTTTTGGTATTTATTGTGCTCCAGTACTGGGGTCCAATAAATTTATTGAAATTTTTTTTAAGTTTCCCTTTTCTTGGGAGCCATTCTGACTGTTTGGTACTTGTTCTGAAAAAAAGTTCGTGTCGACATCTCTCCATTCTTTCATAAAAACGTGGCTGCTTCGGGCATCTGTGATTGGGTGATTTGATTTTGTACCCAAGTGTCACATTCACCGCGCGACAACATGTGTGGGTGCCTATTTTGACCTGATTGCACTGACGTCAACTGTTTGTTCACTTAATTAAAACATTACATTTCAATAAATAAACACCGGAGAAAGTATTTTCTAATGAAAATAGAATGATTTCCGGTCTTTTACCGTGTCAATCACTTCTGATTAGATGATTGAGGAGGCTGAGCTTCCGCCTACATATACGAAAGAGCTTTATGCCTTTCGTAAAAAGTACAGAAATAGAGGTGGGTCAAGAAAGCAAGCAACATCTGGTGCTCTTTTGACTCAACTCAACTGTATTTATGGAGCACTTTAAAACAACCACCGCTGTATACAAAGCGCTCTACTAGGAGCAAATATCAAACATACAACACTAAACAATAAACAACTTTGAGAACTAAACCAAAATTGTTATGTGGACCCTCGCGATCTGCTTCATTATTTTAATTCTCTCATTGTTTTGGATTGTTTTTAAAGCACTTTTTATTGTGTTATATAGAGGCATGTAAGGAGAGTCAAATTAATAAGGCGCACACCCACAATGCTCCTAATTTAAGACTGCTCAAAGTCAGGTGCCACAACTTTAGTCAGAATTCCGATTAGCATCTTTGTAACTTCAATTTCTTTATGGTTATGACAGGAGTTTTAGCTGCGGCATTTCAATGTATATGTGTCTATAAAGGGTCTTACATATTCCTTGACATTTTTTGTCTTGACAGCTTTATAGGAGTAGTATGCAGGATACAGCGTCCCAAACAGGAGCCTGCAAAGACAAAAAAAAAAAAACATGGCTTATTATTAATCATGTTACATTTCATTAGTTAAAGCACTAGACATTACTAGCGATACCTTAACTGTTAGTTCTTTGTTTATAGCACTCAAGCGCTAAGGTATCGCAATAAGTGCTACGCAATGTAACATGTGTGACATTTATTTCATGATACACTGGGTGCGAAAACCCTTTCAGTATAGATGCTAACTTCGCAATAGTCTCGCGATGGCAGGCACGTTCAAGAACGCTACACAAAACCAAATATTGTTTCACAATGTATCCTAATCCTAGTGGCCATCGGGAGAGCTATTAGCCATAACACTACACTTCAGTCCCATTTTTTATATTATGTCCAAAAACACATTGTTTTTTTTTTTGTTTGTTTTTTTAAAAGTTTTTAGCGTGAATTTTTGTTTAAATAATAAATCTCCGCACAATAGTGTGATATGGATCGTATCGTAAGGTTCATGTCGTACCGTGACGTTTGAATGAACACAGATTTACTAAGACTGGGAAAGAGCGCTGGGCGAGTTACGCCACAATTTGTAAATGGATTCGGTCTGCTTGCACTGCTGTTCGAGCTTTCGCAAAAGCCGGCATCATTTCGGAGGAGCCGCATGGCAACGAGACTGACTGACAATGACGCGAGGGAACCTGGCATGCCTGATTGTGAACTTGCCCAGCTGTTCATTTCAGATACAGAATATTAGGACTTTTGATGGATTTGATTATGAGAATTGATCAAAAATAAATAAATTATGTGAGTACATTGTTAGATACTTCAATAAAGTACAACCACACTCGGTTTTGCTGCTGTTACCTTTTTAAAAACATACCTGCTACCGGATTGTTTAAGCTTGCGTACTAAAGTTTTACCATGTCTGCGTCCAGTACATCACATCTTGCGTATGTGTTAAAAACAGAAATAGCACCGATAACTGGCCTTTTAATGGGGTGTGCCGTATGGTCGTGACAATACGGTATTTCTCAAAGGTAAATGTGAATAATCAAGATGGAGAGCATGGAACCTCAGAAGGAAAGCAGAAAATCATCTCCAGCTCTGGCATCTCTGATACCATCACACACTGTGGAGGCTTAACTCTCAAGCTACGCTGTGTCTCCAACCGTAGATGCTGAAGAGAAACCTCTCTTTGTCGTAACTCAGCTCAACTTTCCACACTTGAGCAAACATGCCGGAAAGTACCTCTGTATCCCTGCAAGCAGCTAACCCTCAGAGAGACTTTTTAGTGCCTCGGGTAAAGTAATTACTTTGCAGTGTACCAACCAAAGCGAACACGCTGGATCTCCTAGCAGTATTTGTTTCAATAGTTAGACGGAGCCGTGGAGAGGGCAACGAATCACCTCTCGCACCCACAGTGACATGTGGTGGATGAGGATGCTTCAGCAAAGGTGCAATCAATCAGATTCGTCTTTGCCAAGAAGGGTTGAATAAAGCCACTTAAAAGGTTGTACCGCAAGAAAAATTGCTGCCAGAATCAACAAACTGTCCCCGCAACAAAGAAACGTGGGCGTGTTCGTGTAAAAGTGTTGTTGGAAAACCAGCTACGCAACATAACAGACCATCAACAGTGAAAGCACCAGCAGTCATGGCGAAGAGGAAGGAATTCTCGAACCATGACCATCAAATGGCCGAACTGTATGGCGGCTTAACAAGTCCGTTGAGAGCAAACTGCAAGAAGATGAATTCCTCTTACAATAGTTTTATTCTGATGTTCATGGATTCTTGGTAACATGAATCATCATATTTTCATGCAATGTAAGGCTCAAACTAAGGATGACTTTAATAACACGGGTCAACAAATGATTCATTTTCAGATAAATGCGCTGCGAGTGTTGTGAGCGACTGGCTGAGACCACGGTCCAAAGATTTTGACGCTGATGGATTATGAAGCTTTGGCACAGATGAGGAAAAGTGTGTGACAGTGCCGGCAGACTACGTTGGAAAAAAAAAAAAAAGTACCGTAAGCTTCTCATGATATTAGAAGTCCTTAGCGTGAAAAATTCACCTCATTTATTGAATGACCCTCATATTAAGAATATATTATTCACATAAAATTATCCAAGTGTTGTGTTTACATAAATCTGGAAGAGGCCAGGCAAAAACCACTTCTGAGAGAGAACATCAACTAAAGAGGGCAAAAAACGATGAGGACACAGTTAAAAGTTAAATGACCATCGTTTTTATTCTTTACTCTATTCTTTGTTTTTTTACATTATGCACAACTCTCATTTAGTGTGCAATAATCTAATTGTAACATGTATTTGTTACATATTTTGCATATTTTGATTCTTTTTTATGCTTTAGAAAATATTTATGTCCGAATTTTGGGGGGCTTGGAACGGATTAGGGCATTTACATGGAAAACGCGTCTCTACTCACATTTTCTAGTGAAGAACTTTCTTCCAGAACCAATTAATTTCGTAAGTAGAGGTACCACTGTATTTTATTTGACGCCACTGTCAATGCCAGACTGAGATTTTTTTTCCCCAAGTTACTCCACACTTTCCACCACAAATGTAATTTGAGCTTCTAAGAACTATAGAGAGAGCACTTTAAATGGATTCAGTGAGTCAGAAAGTTTACAAAAACCACACCCCATCTCAAATCTACCATCATATCAAAACTACGATCTCTGCTGGTGCGTATTCCTTCCTATTCCTCACTTTCATCCCTGCACTCTTTGCGTGCAGCTGACAAAATAGACATGTTGCCTTTGGAAGGGCCTTGACTGTGGACTCGGGATCAATTTCACTGGCTTCCTGACATTGCACACCAATAACCAGATGGAAGCTGGGGGAGGATATACACAAAAGACCGAAGACAAAGAACTGAGAGACTAATAAAAAAAAAAACACAAGACACCAGAACAGAGGGAGAAAATTAAACAGTTATCCCCAGCAAATAGAACAAGTCATCCCCCAAAAAAACAAACAAAAAAAAAAAACCCAAATAATTGTTTCCAACTCCTTAAAATAAAATCTCCTCCTCTTCTTTAGGCACTTCAGAACCCCGTAATGTTTACGTGGCTTTCTCAGCGGGCTTGAAAAAAATGTTGACAGGCAGTTGGTGTCGCTGCTTCTTACAACTACCTTTTACAGTCTTCCTTATCTCCAGTCTTCCTTATCTTTGTTTTGTTCTTCTCTCTATACCGTACGTACTCTTTGTTCACGTCTTAATGGCAGGATACTGCAGCACCATTTTTTTCCCCTTCTGTGAGCATATCCAGGTTTGCCACGTTTGATAAAGTCACAGATCATTAAGTATTATGATTTCCAGTTTTATTGCATATGTACTGAAAGGTACAACTGGAAAGTAGTTTCACATTGTATTAACATATGAAATCCGTCTTTAAAACAAGATGTACAGAACGCAACAATACATTTATGGGAACAACAGTACCAAAAAAAAAAGAAAAAAAAAAGAAAACAAAAACAGTCAAACATTTTCCTGTCTCGAGGTTTTTAGCAGGTATGCGAGTCCCAAAATAAACACGTTGCCCCCTCAGGAATAATGACGCCGCCTTAAAATGTAAACATTCTCATTTTTTTCAGATGTCCTGATCCAATTACGTGATCAGAAATCAGGGAGGGGGGTGGGAGGCGATCAAGTGGTTTTCAGCTGATTGATGATTGGTGCAAAAATGGTTACCGGTATCTTCATTTTCTGAATTTTTTTTTGGTTACAAAGTTATCAAATAATCCAAAACTATAAATATCTTGCCAAATGGTGCAGTAAAAGCTTAATTTTACTTTACACAATGTTATGTTTTGTTTTTGGGGGCTGCTAGCAATCAGAGTGACAGTAAAGAACCAGACAGAAACTCTCTGTGCTCAGCTAATGCTCTCCGTCTGCGCTGCATCGCCTAAAATTGTGTATGGTGAAACAATAAAACTGCACACAAAGGCTGTGAATACATTTGTACATTATGTGCATGAATATTTTGCAAAAAAATTCAAAAACGGGTTTCACATTGTCTGTTATGTGCAGAATTGTCTGAGAAAAAAAATATTCCATTTGAATAGAATGAATGAAAATGAATAGAATGTTCGATATATATAAAAAAAGAAATACATCTGGGAAAAAAACCTTGATCCAAAATACAAAGCATTCCGCGGGATGCAGGCAGAGGTTGCATTATAGTGTTAGATTTGTGCCACAATCATAAGTAAATAACAGGGACTTTTGAACACATAAGTTTTCAACGCTTAGGAACCGTTCATAATTGATGATTTTTGTGCTTTTTTGCATTTTAGGGTCTGCAACTAACGATTGTTTTCATCATTGATTAATCTGCCCATTATGTTGTTGATTAATCGATAAATCCGGAAAAAAAAAACATTTTAATTTCCACCCCTTTATTCAATTTTTTTTTCCCCCCCAAGATGGCGCCCGGATAGGCAGCCATTGGCAAGTGCTCTTCAAGAGCCTTGCGTTTTTTGTTGTTTTTTGTTGTTTTTGTCTTGTTTTGTCACATGGTGGTGTTGTTACGTCGTGTGGACCTGATGTGGACTGTTTTCAACATTTTTGGCCATGGCATTCGTCAAAGAAGAAGAATCTGTGCTTGGTGGTTGCGCCTTCTCGGCAGCACACGCGTACCAGCACCGATTTCTTGATTGGGAGGAATGTCGGCACTATTTGAGTGTCGTTGCTGGACAGCCCGGGGGCGCTTGCGTTTTGTCATGGGCAGCATTTTCACAGCCCCGCTTTGTTCAGCGAAAAGGTCGATGCTGATGGACAGTCTGCGGCTGGATGGATGCATGGATTGAGGAGCCGCCAATGAGAAGAAAGGAGCGCCAGCGCAGAGCGCCGATTCGTATGTGGAACTGGGAGTCGCGTCTTGGAATGGAAGCGAACTTACATGGGACAGGAGAAGAGAGCCAATCTCTCTTTTTTGTTAATGATGCTACAGCTTCTTGTTGCTTTCAAGCTTAGCTTGTAGCAGACGTGTGCACATTGCAGCGTGACGTCTTTGATCCACTGGTGAAAAGGACACTTTGCTTCGCTCCTCTTTCATCTAAAACTGGTTCAGACAACAAAGTGTATGCAGGAAAGTGGTTAAGTGTGCACGATTGTCTGTGTCTCCTGTGTTGTTCTGTATTATTTTGTCATTTTTTTGTGAACTTTTCTTTTGATAGCGGCGCGGACACCCGCAGCGGCTCCTCTTGTTTTATGTTGAGAGGAAAGAAATGTCATTTGTGCTGTATGTTACACATACAGTACATTTGACAATAAGGCTTATTCAATCCAATCCAAAAATAAAAAAAAACATGCCATTACTTTATATGCAGGAAATGCATGAACATAAATTATGATTCAGTTACTAGTTTTTGGTCCATGTCACAAAATTAGGCCTGCAACTTTGGACATTTTGGTATTTGGATATCCTATTGCATATTTTTGGGGCATACCAACACATGATATAGCACGAAGTACAATCCCAACACTTGTGAAAATATGATGAAATAAATATGATGCAAGGCATTAAATGCGAGAATGTAGCAGAAGGAAAATCCAAGAGGCTTCGATTTCACATCACACGAGGTAATTTTGTACATGACAAAACACAACGGTGTTCAAGAATAGAGTTTGAAACAATTATATCTCGGAGGTCTACAGACCATTCCATTGTTTTTAAGTTTTAATGTCAACAAATAACCGATTTTGTAATCGTGATTTCAATCTTAATCTAAATATTTTTCTCCCATCATCCTCCAGCCCTAGTATCGGATATCACAAAGTGGTATCGAGCCATTGTGCAGTTAGTCGGGTTGGCCTCTAACTTCAAATTTAGAGCTGGGGCTGGCACTCCTTAATAGCTCAACATGTCGCAACATAAGTCCCAACTCAACACATACACAATTAACTCGGATGACTCACTAACAATATGGACGGTTACATAGATAAACAAGTCAACTTTCGACTGATTGGCAGATCGCCACATACAACCGTGTTGGGATCACGAAAGTATCCACGTCACTGCATAATAACATCGTTCAGACGCATAAAACGACGTCCAATGTAACCTACAAACGCCAAAAACTAAAATTCAGCAACAAGGTTACTAGTTAGCCCAGCATGCTAACAAAGCTAACTCCCATCAACTGTCATTTTACATTCAATCTCGTAAAAAGTACGCGTTTAATTCATTTTGATCAACGGCTGTGATTTTGTACTTACACGACGCTTCTTGAAATGATCCAGGACACCATGTTCTTTGTCTCTCCAAGTGCTGGGCTGTGTTTCAGTTAGAGAACTGCCGAAGTGGTGATGTCGGTAGCCAAGCCACAGTTAACTTGGTCTGCCCAAAACTTCGAAGGGACCTACGAGCTAGCTGCGCTTCAGCCGCTCGAGTTATCTGAAATGTTGCTCCTGTTTACCCTCTTCTGGTGGTCATGACTCCAAGAAATCGATATGACGATTGATGTCCACGACGTTTTCTGTAGTTAGTTGCCCGATCTTATTCCGCGATTCCCTCGCTCACTGCTTCTCGGTTTCTGGCAACAGAACAACACTCACTTAGCTACCGACGTCACGACTAAAGAACTAACCTTCTCCCACCGGCCACTGGAGGCTCTTGACAGCAGATCCATTTTCATTGGCTGGTGAGGCTCAGTCAAGATCACGTGATCTTTTGTAACTAGGAAGCAATATTTTGAGTTTTGGAACCGCTGTGCTGCATGATGCATAGAAAAGACAATAATTTCAACAATAGTCATACAATCGTTCATAATTAAATTAAATATTCAGTTCGAATTACGTTAATATTTAGCATACAGGAGGTGCAGTTTTATTGCATCTTGATGCAAGTATTGTGTGAAAATGCTCATAGATGAAGTCTCCAACGACCAGTATGGCATCATCGGTGTGTAGTTTACACTTGACACATGATAATTTAGCAATACATAATTTATTCTCTTGCATGGGAATTAAAATGTATCCTGATACTTGAAGTACAGTATGTGACCCTGATTTAATTTATACATTAAGAAGCCTTTTATTAACACACCTGGGGGATATACTATATTTTGAAAATGTGCATACCATCTCCTTTATATTCAAGAATCCAACCATCAATTATTTTTTTTGCTGTTTATCCTTGGAGTGACAGGTGAGCTGGCACCTTTGAGTGACAGTTGCCAGTCAAACATAAGGAACATGGGCAAATAAGCAGTGCACAAGCACATTGAAACTATTAAATGGTCACCAAATTCAAGAGTATCACTTTTGTATTTGCATTCTAAGCATTTGGCATTTTTTCTTCCTTTCTTTTCCTTTCGTGATGCAATAGATTGGGCTTCAGTAGTGAATGTTGTTCGCAAACGACTCATTCCAGTGACTGAAATTTTTGAGTAAAGATCCTGAATAGAATCACTTTATGAATGGATTTGTTCCTTTCTCAGTTCTGTTGAGCTCATTTTCAAGGGTTTGCCGCACAATATTCTGGCATTCGCAGGGCGGCGATGGTGAGTTCGCATGGAGAGTCAGAGACAAGCATCTCGGTCTTGCTGCAGAGTGGCTTTCACTGCCCACCCCCACCAGAAACAACCTTAACCACACCCCAGACCCCGTTTCCTGCCCTGGAGATCCACGAACAGGACATGAGACGGCTCTTGATGCAGTAGAAGACCAAGAAGGCCTCAGGGCCCACTAAGGTGTCCTCCTCCTTCCTATGTATTTGTTACATATTTTGCATATTTTGATTCTTTTTTATGCTTTAGAAAATATTTATGTCCGAATTTTGGGGGGCTTGGAACGGATTAGGGCATTTACATGGAAAACGTGTCTCTACTCACATTTTCTAGTGAAGAACTTTCTTCCAGAACCAATTAATTTCGTAAGTAGAGGTACCACTGTATTTTATTTGACGCCACTGTCAATGCCAGACTGAGATTTTTTTTCCCCAAGTTACTCCACACTTTCCACCACAAATGTAATTTGAGCTTCTAAGAACTATAGAGAGAGCACTTTAAATGGATTCAGTGAGTCAGAAAGTTTACAAAAACCACACCCCATCTCAAATCTACCATCATATCAAAACTACGATCTCTGCTGGTGCGTATTCCTTCCTATTCCTCACTTTCATCCCTGCACTCTTTGCATGCAGCTGACAAAATAGACATGTTGCCTTTGGAAGGGCCTTGACTGTGGACTCGGGATCAATTTCACTGGCTTCCTGACATTGCACACCAATAACCAGATGGAAGCTGGGGGAGGATATACACAAAAGACCGAAGACAAAGAACTGAGAGACTAATAAAAAAAAAAACACAAGACACCAGAACAGAGGGAGAAAATTAAACAGTTATCCCCAGCAAATAGAACAAGTCATCCCCCAAAAAAACAAACAAAAAAAAAAACCCAAATAATTGATTCCAACTCCTTAAAATAAAATCTCCTCCTCTTCTTTAGGCACTTCAGAACCCCGTAATGTTTACGTGGCTTTCTCAGCGGGCTTGAAAAAAATGTTGACAGGCAGTTGGTGTCGCTGCTTCTTACAACTACCTTTTACAGTCTTCCTTATCTCCAGTCTTCCTTATCTTTGTTTTGTTCTTCTCTCTATACCGTACGTACTCTTTGTTCACGTCTTAATGGCAGGATACTGCAGCACCATTTTTTTCCCCTTCTTTGAGCATATCCAGGTTTACCACGTTTGATAAAGTCACAGATCATTAAGTATTATGATTTCCAGTTTTATTGCATATGTACTGAAAGGTACAACTGGAAAGTAGTTTCGCATTGTATTAACATATGAAATCCGTCTTTAAAACAAGATGTGCAGAGTGCAACAACACATTTATGGGAACAACAGTACCAAAAAAAAAAGAAAAAAAAAAGAAAACAAAAACAGTCAAACATTTTCCTGTCTCGAGGTTTTTAGCAGGTATGCGAGTCCCAAAATAAACACGTTGCCCCCTCAGGAATAATGACGCCGCCTTAAAATGTAAACATTCTCATTTTTTTCAGATGTCCTGATCCAATTACGTGATCAGACATCAGGGAGGGGGGTGGGAGGCGATCAAGTGGTTTTCAGCTGATTGATGATTGGTGCAAAAACGGTTACCGGTATGTTCATTTTCTGAATTTTTTTTGGTGGTCCAAAACTATAAATATCTTGCCAAATGGTACAGTAAAAGCTTAATTCTACTTTACACAATGTTACGTTTTGTTTTTGGGGGCTGCCAGCAATCAGAGTGACAGTAAAGAACCAGACAGAAACTCTCTGTGCTCAGCTAATGCTCTCCGTCTGCGCTGCATCGCCTAAAATTGTGTATGGTGAAACAATAAAACTGCACACAAAGGCTGTGAATACATTTGTACATTATGTGCATGAATATTTTGCAAAAAAATTCAAAAACGGGTTTCACATTGTCTGTTATGTGCAGAATTGTCTGAGAAAAAAAATATTCCATTTGAATAGAATGAATGAAAATGAATAGAATGTTCGATATATATAAAAAAAGAAATACATCTGGGAAAAAAAACCTTGATCCAAAATACAAAGCATTCCGCGGGATGCGGGCAGAGGTTGCATTATAGTGTTAGATTTGTGCCACAATCATAAGTAAATAACAGGGACTTTTGAACACATAAGTTTTCAACGCTTAAGAACCGTTCTTAATTGATGATTTTTTTGCTTTTTTTGCATTTTAGGGTCTGCAACTAACGATTGTTTTCATCATTGATTAATCTGCCCATTATGTTGTTGTCGATAAATCCGGAAAAAAAACATTTTAATTTCCATCCCTTTATTCAATTTTTTTTCCCCCCAAGATGGCGCCCGGATAGGCAGCCATCGGCAAGTGCTCTTCAAGAGCCTTACGTTTTTTGTTGTTTTTGTCTTGTTTTGTCACATGGTGGTGTTGTTACGTCGTGTGGACCTGATGTGGACTGTTTTCAACATTTTTGGCCATGGCATTCGTCAAAGAAGAAGAATCTGTGCTTGGTGGTTGCACCTTCTCGGCAGCACACGCGTACCAGCACTGATTTCTTGATTGGGAGGAATGTCGGCACCATTTGACTGTTGTTGCTGGACATACCCGGGGCGCTTGTGTCTTGCGTCTGAAGTAGGCAGCATTTTCACAGCCCCGTTTTGTTCAGCGAAAGTGGTTAAGTGTGCACGATTGTCTGTGTCTCCTGTGTTGTTCTGTATTATTTTGTCATTTTTTTGTGAACTTTTCTTTTGATAGCGGCGCGGACACCCGCAGCGGCTCCTCTTGTTTTATGTTGAGAGGAAAGAAATGTCATTTGTGCTGTATGTTACACATACAGTACATTTGACAATAAGGCTTATTCAATCCAATCCAAAAATAAAAAAAAACATGCCATTACTTTATATGCAGGAAATGCATGAACATAAATTATGATTCAGTTACTAGTTTTTGGTCCATGTCACAAAATTAGGCCTGCAACTTTGGACATTTTGGTATTTGGATATCCTATTGCATATTTTTGGGGCATACCAACACATGATATAGCACGAAGTACAATCCCAACACTTGTGAAAATATGATGAAATAAATATGATGCAAGGCATTAAATGCGAGAATGTAGCAGAAGGAAAATCCAAGAGGCTTCGATTTCACATCACACGAGGTAATTTTGTACATGACAAAACACAACGGTGTTCAAGAATAGAGTTTGAAACAATTATATCTCGGAGGTCTACAGACCATTCCATTGTTTTTAAGTTTTAATGTCAACAAATAACCGATTTTGTAATCGTGATTTCAATCTTAATCTAAATATTTCCCCCCCCCCATCATCCTCCAGCCCTAGTATCGGATATCACAAAGTGGTATCGAGCCATTGTGCAGTTAGTCGGGTTGGCCTCTAACTTCAAATTTAGAGCTGGGGCTGGCACTCCTTAATAGCTCAACATGTCGCAACATAAGTCCCAACTCAACACATACACAATTAACTCGGATGACTCACTAACAATATGGACGGTTACATAGATAAACAAGTCAACTTTCGACTGATTGGCAGATCGCCACATACAACCGTGTTGGGATCACGAAAGTATCCACGTCACTGCATAATAACATCGTTCAGACGCATAAAACGACGTCCAATGTAACCTACAAACGCCAAAAACTAAAATTCAGCAACAAGGTTACTAGTTAGCCCAGCATGCTAACAAAGCTAACTCCCATCAACTGTCATTTTACATTCAATCTCGTAAAAAGTACGCGTTTAATTCATTTTGATCAACGGCTGTGATTTTGTACTTACACGACGCTTCTTGAAATGATCCAGGACACCATGTTCTTTGTCTCTCCAAGTGCTGGGCTGTGTTTCAGTTAGAGAACTGCCGAAGTGGTGATGTCGGTAGCCAAGCCACAGTTAACTTGGTCTGCCCAAAACTTCGAAGGGACCTACGAGCTAGCTGCGCTTCAGCCGCTCGAGTTATCTGAAATGTTGCTCCTGTTTACCCTCTTCTGGTGGTCATGACTCCAAGAAATCGATATGACGATTGATGTCCACGACGTTTTCTGTAGTTAGTTGCCCGATCTTATTCCGCGATTCCCTCGCTCACTGCTTCTCGGTTTCTGGCAACAGAACAACACTCACTTAGCTACCGACGTCACGACTAAAGAACTAACCTTCTCCCACCGGCCACTGGAGGCTCTTGACAGCAGATCCATTTTCATTGGCTGGTGAGGCTCAGTCAAGATCACGTGATCTTTTGTAACTAGGAAGCAATATTTTGAGTTTTGGAACCGCTGTGCTGCATGATGCATAGAAAAGACAATAATTTCAACAATAGTCATACAATCGTTCATAATTAAATTAAATATTCAGTTCGAATTACGTTAATATTTAGCATACAGGAGGTGCAGTTTTATTGCATCTTGATGCAAGTATTGTGTGAAAATGCTCATAGATGAAGTCTCCAACGACCAGTATGGCATCATCGGTGTGTAGTTTACACTTGACACATGATAATTTAGCAATACATAATTTTTTTCTCTTGCATGGGAATTAAAATGTATCCTGATACTTGAAGTACAGTATGTGACCCTGATTTAACTTATACATTAAGAAGCCTTTTATTAACACACCTGGGGGATATACTATATTTTGAAAATGTGCATACCATCTCCTTTATATTCAAGAATCCAACCATCAATTATTTTTTTGCTGTTTATCCTTGGAGTGACAGGTGAGCTGGCACCTTTGAGTGACAGTTGCCAGTCAAACATAAGGAACATAGACACAGGGGCAAATAAGCGGTGCACCGGTGCACAAGCACATTGAAAATATTAAATGGTAACCAAATTCAAGAGTATCACTTTTGTATTTGCATTGTAAGCATTTGGCATTTTTTCTTCCTTTCGTTTCTTTTCGCGATGCAATAGATGGGGCTTCAGTAGTGAATGTCGTTCACAAACGACTCATTCCAGTGACTGAAATTTTTGAGTAAAGATCCTGAATAGAATCACTTTATGAATGGATTTGTTCCTTTCTCAGTTCTGTTGAGCTCATTTTCAAGGGTTTGCCGCACAATATTCTGGCATTCACAGGGCGGCGATGGTGAGTTCGCATGGAGAGCCAGTGACAAGCATCTCGGTCTTGCTGCAGAGTGGATTTCACTGCCCACCCCCACCAGAAACAACCTTAACCACACCCCAGACCCCGTTTCCTGCCCTGGAGATCCACGAACAGGACATGAGACGGCTCTTGATGCAGTAGAAGACCAAGAAGGCCTCAGGGCCCACTAAGGTGTCCTCCTCCTTCCTCAAAATGTGTCGACCAGCTGGCTCCGGTCTTCACACAAATCTTCAACAGATCCCTGAAGCTGTGTTAGGTCCTATCCTGCTTCACACAGTCCACCGTCATCCCAGTCCCCAAAAAAACAGAAACATTGGAACTGAACGTCTATAGGCCTGTAACTCTGATGTCTGTGGTCATGAAGTCCTTCGAACGCCTTGTGCTAAACTACCTAAAGAACATCACCGGACCCCTGTTGGACCCCCTGCAGTTTGCCTCCCGGGCAAACAGGTCTGTGGACATTGCACTCAACACAGGGGTGCACTACATCCTGGGGCACCTTGATGGCACAGGCACCTATGGTAGGACCCTGTTTGTGGACTTTAGTTCTGCATTAAACACCATCATCCCAGAACTTCCCACCTCCAAGTTTCTCAAGCTCAGTGTGTCCCCTACGATCTACCAGTGGCCCCTCAGCTTCCTGATGGTAAGGACACAACAAGTGAGACTGGGAAGGACAGCATCATAAACATGCACTACCAGCACTGGGGGCTCCCCAGGGATCCGTCCTCTCTCCGCTGCTCTTCTCCCTCTACACGAACGACTGCGCCACAACACACCCAGCCGTCAAACTCAGAAAGTTCGCAGACGACACCACAGTCATCGGGCTCATTAAAGATGGCGACGAGTCTGCGTACAGACAAGAAGTGGAGCAGCTGGTGCTCTGGTATTACCGCAATGATCATTGGAGCTCCAGCTCTCGACATGCTTGAACAATTGTCGTTGATCAATATTCCACAGCACCAGGCATTTTAAAGCGCTCAACAACTTACTGTATAATTGCACACCTAAAGTTGTACAACAATTGCTGCTATTGGTTACTTAAAAAGTCGCAATAATTATCTGCACCAACTGCACAACCGTCATAATATTGTATTGCACCACTGATCACTTTATCGCTACTTGATGACTCTACACATTGTCGCATATCTGTCATGGGGGGGGGGTACTACTGCAAAATCGTCCCCTCACATTATGGAGAGTCTTTCGATACGTACATGTTATGTCTTTGTTTATCGTAGTTACTTGTTATTGCAATACTAGTGTAGCATAGACTGTAATACAAGGAGACAAATTCCTTGTATGCTCTCCATACTTGGCCAATAAAGATGATTCTTATTCTGCTTTACAGTTATTAAGTAAAATTGTATCTTTTCCTATGGCAAACGCATGGCTTTGTCTTGATGATTAGATTGGAGATGACAGGTGTGCCACATGAGCCTTTACATACAATGTTCATGTTTGTGACATCATGCACCTCTGTGCATGCTTTTGTGCGCAATGAAAGCGTGTAGGGTTGTGGGTGATAGATTCATAGCTACTTGTTATTCATGAAGGCGGTTGCTGCAGTCTGCAGCAGTGTGAGGAAGATTCCCAGTGGAGCTTCTCTGGTCACATAGCTTGTCTGGGATGGCACCGATGGATCACAGTTGAATAGAAATCTATTTCGCTAAGCTTTCAGTTTTTAACTCATCATCTAGATCTGTATGCAAAATCATACATACAAAGTTCCAAAATATTTAAATTGATGTCATAATTATGTAGAGGAAAGTTTCCTCAATCAATGGCATTATGCATGAAAGTGGACTACTTGATAAAATGGTTAGGAGCAAAAATAATGGAAACAAACATTTGGGCACAAATGGAGGTACACGGTAGGTGTGCCATTTTTTAGTTCTTGTATTCACATTTAAATGGCCATGAAAGTATGGTTTTATGAAATTCATTATCTCTATATTTATATATTTGTGCTGTCAAGCAATTACATTCATCCATCCGTTATCCAAATTTATCCTCACGAGAGTTGCCAGCGTGCTGGAGCCAAACCCATTTGTCTTCAGTCAGTAGGCAAGGTACACCCTGAACTGGTTGCCAGCCAATCGCAGGCAATGATATTTTTAAATTTTCTTATTCGCAAAATTTGCCATAATTAATCAAACTTAATCTGGTATTTGTACTTCTACTATTTTCTACAAAGCTTGTAACAGGTATTCTTAAGATTTGCAAAAATAATCAAATAGAAACTATATTTCGAATCAAAAACTGTTGTCACAGCTTTCTTTGATCCGCAAATACAATTCGTCCACTGTAAAATACAACCATTGAACAAGACAATCAAAATTAGCTCACTTTTATCGGCATCTCTCTTTTATTCTTCTCATGGAAACAATTTTCAAAACTTCTCCTATAGGCCTACTTGTGCCCACGAGCACCACACTCCAGCAATGTTGATTTGTGAGGCCCTGTGGAGGTAACTTCAGCAGCATATTTTGCTCTGAGATGATACGCCAAAGACATACAATTTATATGTTTTTTGCTCCATGTACAGCAGTTTGTATACAGCGGTGGTTGTTATAAAGTGCTTGATAAATACAGTTGAGTTTACAAATATGCGTGTGTGTGTGTGTGTGTGTGTGTGTGTGTGTGTGTGTGTGTGTGTGTGTGTGTGTGTGCCTGTCTGTCTGTCTGTCTTCTGTCTGTCGGTCATCAATGGATATATTATCTGAGGTGGATAGACGTGTGAATACCAAGACCGAATTTGGGGAATAATCTCCTATGTTAAAATTAGATGACAAAAGTGTAAGAATACAGATTTTGGCGCAATCCAGAATACTGTACACTCGGCTATGTTTATGATGGATTTTATAGTCCTATTTTATAGTCCTCCTCCAGTTATGTTGTATTTGTGTTCAGCCCGTGAAAAAAAATCAAAAGAATAGTCTCAGTAATTACAGTGATACTACGAGGAAACCACACTTGGGGTCAAACTACCTGAGTTTTGCGGGGAAAATAGCGCGGATCCGAGCGGAGGGACACTACCGCGCTGCGGTCTGTGAATGCTTTCCAAATCCAGCGGAGAAACACTGGCAAGAATTGTAGCTGTGATGCGGTTCAGTGTTCCACGGGTTTTTTTTTTCAAGCCAGGGGAAAAAGGACTGACGTTCGAGCGGGTGGAGACTACTACATTTAAATCCCACGGGTTGTATGCCCATTTAGCGACGAATTGCGGTCGTTTTAAAATTTTCTTTCTAATGCGGGCGTCCATAAGACCTTTTTAATGTCGTAGTAGGACGGGTTGTAAGGGCGTCGTAGTTGGGAAGTTTTTTCCGAGGGAGGGTTTTCGGCCAGCGAAGGGCCATGGCATTCGAGGCTCGGCCGGAGCTAGTCGGGAAGAGGTTCCTCTGTGTCAGCGGGGACGAGCCGCCTGAACTCGGCGACATCGCTCGGTGGCCATGGAGATCCGGTGTCATACGAGCTGTGAACCATCGAGACAGTGACAATCTCGACCTGACGGTAAGGAAAACGCAGACTCTCGTCCTCCCGCTTGTCTGTTACACGCAAAAGCAATTGGGAGAAATCTCGGTGGTTGGTGGCTGGCCAGCAAGGCAATGCAGTAAGGCAGACATTTATAGTGTGTGTGTGTGTGTGTATGTGTGAGCGCGCGCGCACGCGTGTTTACGCGTTTTTTAAAAACTTATTACATATCTTGGTGAAATGGCTACAAATCTTTAGGTACCCAAAAGCTTTGGATTGATATGAAAGTTTGCTTATCACACCACTTGAGAAACCCGAAATGGGTGTAGGCAGACTACCAGCCGCAGTTATTGAAAACAAACCAACGGTGGTCTAGACAGTACTATGCGCAAAAAAAACACCTTTCTCCTTCATCGGTGTAACGTTATGATATGTAATCATGACATGAATTGTAGCCACACGTTGTTGTTCACGATTCGGTGCTACATAAACTACGATCTACACTTCGAATGTAAGATGCTTCATCTTATTGTGTTCATGTAGTAGCTGCAATTGCAAAGCATGTGAAGGAATCTGACTACCAAGCAGCTGAACCCTTTAATCTGATGTATGCTGCAAATCAGCTGACCGAGGTAGTAAGGCTAGCTTTCTCGATTTAGCCCTTATTCAATTTTTGCTCTGGGGGGAAAAAAAACAAACACCCCCCCCCCCACACACACACACACACACACACAATCATGTTGTTTATGAATGAAATGCATGGTACTTCAGCGTCACATTCGACCACACAAACATGATGTCTATACCGACGAAAAAGCCTTTCGACTTGCATAGGTTCTCAGGAATGCTCGGACTCCTAAAACATAAAACTGTCTTGCTGCAAGCTGAACAATGGGCAGTTGTCGCTTAAAATATTGTCTGAAATCTCAAGTGACTAGGTTTAGAGGTTTTTTTTTGTGTGTGTCATGAATCTTTGAAACAGGGCAGTCATATGTGACAAATATATGAGACATTTCTTCATCTCTAAAATAACATTGTGTTCACAGATCAAAACCACCTACAACAATGAAATATTTGGCCTGAAAGGCCCTTTGCTGGCAAATGTCTCACTGTTGGTTCGTGCCTGTTCTATTTTTCTTTTGTTCAAATTGCAACTGCCTTTCTATGCTGTGCAGTGGCCAAAAATCTTGACTGGATATTTTTGTGTGCATTTTCAAATGTCTAATGTAATGTAGCTGTCACAGACTTCTCATAAGGAGATTTTGTTATTAATGTGGGCTTGTTTGTTCGTCTGCAACTCCCTGCCCCTAATTTTGATATGTCAACGTTTGCTGTGATTATGTTGAGGTGTTTCTCTGTGGATTTTGCCTTTTACGGTTTAGATGTCAATCCACATAATGACGATGAAACCATATTTAATGTTGTCAGTTTGTGTTTCCAGCTACCCTATGTTTGCCACTTTATTCACATATTTCATTTAAAACCCGCAATCTAATAGTCGTAGTACCAGAAATTTGGTTTGACAGTCATTGTTGTCTGTCTGTCACAGTCATCTAATAATCATTTCCTCTGTTGAATTAACACTGTGGGGTGGATTGACGCTTCTTGATTCCAGTGGCACAATTAAGAAATGTTGCTCTCACGTGGCACAATTCATAAATGTGTCATGGCAGCTTAATGAGAAACAAACATATGGAGTCCGATGTACTCTATTCAGATCAGAATTCGACCTCTTCCAAATGTGGACAATCATCTGATATGTGCAGATATGTGTCACATGCAGCACAATCCATCACAAATTTATTCTGTAGCTGAATAGAACTCAAACCAGCTATTGCATTATTATTATAAATTTTTGTTGATGATGATTTATTTCAAACATGCATAAAATTCAAAGTACAGTATAATAAAGTAACTTGTGGGAAAAAATGTAGACCATCAAAAAGATAAAGAGGGAAACAATTACAAATAATCACCCAATATAATGGTCCCTACGAAATAATACTCCTTAACCACTTATTTTCCCCACAACAGTGAAATATTCGCATTCCTGTGGTATTTGTGCTTAGTAATTTTATAACCTTATTTTACCTAGAACATAAAAAAAATCTATTATGTACGGTCATACTCCATGTAATTCCATAGCCTGTGCTCAACCCCTCCCTTCTCTACACTTCTTCAAAATATATTTTCTAATATTTATTTTTGAAGTGATTGATGGTTTGGCATTGTTGAATTTCCCAATTTAGTCGGTTCCATATTTTCACCCCACAGACAAAGCCACAAACGCTTTTCATAGTTCTCTGGTAATTTTTTAAAAGTTTAGCTTCCCCCCGAAACTATACCCTTCCTCTCATTGAAAAAAAAAAAATATATATATTACCTGGTAAATTATGCCTAGCTTTATGAAAAATTGCTTATTTTGAAATTCTACGACATCAGCACATTTTAAGATTTTGGACTGGAGAAAAAAATTGGAATATACAAATTTTCCACGGTGTTCAGAAGTGAAGAAGAATTCGGGTGATTTATATTCACTGATTGCTTAGTGTCACACGACAAACACGACGTGCAGGGGAACACAATATTAAAGAAGTTGAAATCGTCATAAAGAGGTCTTTACAAAATTTTGATTGGTGAGTAACGAAATAGTCAGATCATTCCTGACAGAAAAAAAAAAAGATCATCCATCATCCATTTTATATGCCGCTTTTCTTCATAAGGGTTTCGCGCAAAATCTCCTTTATGTTCTGCAAATGCATATAAATAGAGTTGAACATTTGGAACGTTCTGTACGTCCTTGCTTTCAGTAAAGGCATTTAAATTTCCTTGAATATTAAAGCGAAGAGAACATTTTGACAACGGCTCCGGATAACAGGATATACAGTAGGACTAAATGATGTTAAAGAGGGGCACACGGGCAATGTAGCGGACAGCGGTGCTCTGTAAGGTCGGCATGTCGTGTCATGTAATGTCTCCAAAGGGGGCGAGCGAGAGTGAGGGAATGGTTTCTGCTGCTGGTTGTTGTTGTTTTTGTAGTTCTGGGCTCTGTGAAAATAAAGATGATTTACTCGAGGTGAGCGCTGTCGCAGTCTGTTTCATATGTTTAGACATTGAACAGAAAGGTTGGTTAGCCAAAATGTTCTCCCCTTTTTCCACCAAAACAAACTTGGTACTCGCGCTCGCCAGTGTTGTACTTAGTAGGTGCTTGACAAGTTCTTCTGAAGAACACGTTTGGTTTTCCACCGGCAAAGAGCCAAGTAGGAGCTATGTCATCATAAAGCGTCCAAACCTCACAGCTTACCCTCGTTTACCCAAGAGCGCCTGCACTATTACTAACAATTATAATAACACGCAATTTGTATCTGCTAGGCAATTTAGCATAGCATCGATAATACTTCTACAGTGAAACTCCTCCTCCTTTCAGCAAGAAATTTTTCACAACAGGGGGTTTTTCACTGTAGCAAATTTGAACTTGACACACAAGATTTCGTATAACGCAACAGGGTTTTTTTTCGTTGTGTGGGTGCAGGAGAGTGGGAATGGTGTTAATGCATGAAGATTTTTTTCACACTAGGGGGTATTTTCGCCCATGTAGGTTTCGTTGTAGAGGAGTTTCACCGTATGTAGTATACACCAGTCAGGGACATGGCAATCAGCAACACTTATATCTTTCCGAATCACGGTAGATGATCATGAGTCGGAGATTGCATGCTATCCAGGCACAGCCGCGATCGCGTTTCTGGTGGGACACAACTGTGCCGGAGTTAACCACTCAACAGTTTGTGTAAATCATCCGTACGTGATTGTTTTTACATTTTAGATGTTCAGTTTAAAGATAAGATACCAAATGAATCAAATCTGTTTACTAGCTCAATGCTCGGAATGGCACTGGCGGTTGGACGATTGAGCCTGTCAATCTGGGAATGGCACTGTCACAATTGGAAGATTAGCCTGTCAATCAGTCAAATCCCTCGCCATGGAGATGAAGCACAACCTCTAATTGGAGACAGCTTTGTCATGTCATGTTGGGGTGCACAGTGGTTTTTACTTTTGTCTGTTAAAATTCCAACAATTGGTGCCGAATGCAAAATTTTTTCTTCAAAGAAAATCAACTATAGCATCAAAATTTTCTTTTGAAGACCCTGCTTAGTAAATTCTGTAGGTCACCCTGCTTTATCCCTTTCTTCAACTGAATCAGTATTTCCTCACATGAGCTTCATATAATCCCTTTCGAGTTGTTGACATTCAAACATTGACTCTCATAACACAAAATACAAGTAAAAATGTTTTGAAATGCTGCATCAACAAATAAATGAGCTGTAATAGTTTTGAAATGGTGTACATTTCGGTTGAAACAATCAAGTCAAAGATAAAAACGGTCGAATCCAGGTGACACCCCAATTTAACAACTTCTCGGTGACAACACAGGTTATTTTATGACTCAGTGGAGTTAATGCAACTGTTGCAACACCATCCCAGATCTTTTAACACCGGCCGATTCGCAGTGTAGGATGGGAGTAATCTTTTCAAATGATTAAACCTTTTTTCTAGAGGTCTATAGCCGCATTCAAGTTATAGGCGTGGTTTACCCTGCTCTATCCAGTGGTTTGTGGTTACTGTATATAAGGTGCGGGGTTTTCTTCATCTCCTAAATGTGGGTCTTTTGTGACAAAGATAGCCTGTAGAATTTGTGTATCCAGTCGGTTTGGTTTTTGCCATGATGTGCTTTACTCAATGTTTACGAAATTCATGCCAGGAGCAGTAAGGGAAGCTGTTGCATGTGTATTCTCTCACGTCAATGGACCCTTCCTCTAAGCCTTATAATGTACACTATGTTCTTTTGTATCATCCAACAAACACTCCCAAGTACCCTAATTCCCTCGTGCCATTGGTTCTTGTGTGTGATGTGATCGAGACGGAGTAGTGTTCTGGTTTAATTCCATACAATGGGGCACCGTCTCATTAGCAAGGGGCTTAACTAGCTCAGTAAATACAGTGTAGAGGGATTGGAGATTAGATTGGAAGAAGTGTGTCAA